ATCGTGATAAGCTAATTTCTTAGAAAGTTTAAGCTGGGCAATATAATTTTTCTTCAAAGTTCTATATGTTATATAATCCGTTGGTTCTTCAGTTATATCGGCTACAAGTTTCGAATGTGACATAGACTTCCTCATAGTTTTTAGGGATTCATCATACCACATAGCTGGTGCACATTCTGTTCTTTGAGTTGAACGTTTTTATTAGAAATATTTTTTTGACCAAATCACAATCACAAACCACAAGTATTTACAAGGTGGGAAGATAGAATTTCAACATCAATAATTGTTTTGCTAGCGTCATTAATCCGTTTTGGGTTACTTTTCGAGAAATCGTTTTATCATTTGAGCTTACTGGTGTTTCCTCAATTTCAAATTGGTAAATCTATAACCTATACAGCAAGATGAAGTAGTGGTTTTTCTTGTATGTTCATGAATAATAGAAACCAAACCAAATGATGGAATTAGGTCTTGTAAATCTTTTGAAGCAGTTGAGTTTACTTTAAAATCTACGTTGAAATCGCCAGTAATGACCACTTTACTATTAGGATTAACCACATGATTTAAGAGGTTCTCTAAATTTTGTAAAAACGTATCAAAATTTCCTTTTCCAGATCTGTATACAGCTATAACAATACATTTTGTATTCAATAATTCTATGCCACAAAATTCAGAATTCAATTCACTATTGAATTGTTGAAATTCTAAAGGCTTCATTTCAATTGATTTTTAATGAAAATAGCACATCCTCCATTGCGTAATAGTTTTCTGAGACAAGTGTGCTGTCGTTAGCAAAGCAATATATTGAATTCTTTGTTATTTCCTATGAGTCATTTATATGCAATAAAAAGAGCGTTGGAGACAATTTTGATCCCTGGAGAACACCAGCGTTTATGGTGTAAGTATTCGAGAGATATCCATCGGGGGCCACTTGCAGGGAACCTTCTTTTAGGAAGCTGAAGAGTCATACACAGAAATGATCCGACAAACCGTAACATCGAAGTTTGGTTAGCAAACCCTCAAATATCAAGCGCAACAGTTCTTGATACTCCATATTTCTCGATTGCGTTATTCCAAATATGGGTGACATACGATAGAAGGCCATACGAAAGCCATATCGATGATAGCTCATTACTAATTCATACAAATTAGCATTTTTTAAATTTTGGCTATTTTGGCCTTTTTATGACATCACTTGAATTTGAATCGATTATTTGTATTCAATTAACTAGTTTAGTTATCCAATAATTTTTCTGAAAAAGAGTTGGTTCGGTAACAGGATCAATTTTTTCTTAAAGAAAAACAAAAAACAATTGTTTTCTTGTCGACGTTTGAATTCAATGAAATACTTCTTCAGGGCTCTGTAACAATGAACTTTCATAAACATAACTTCCACAAAACTCATAAGATTATTATCGTTTCAATTTCACAAAAATAATGAGTTCTTAATAAAATTACTCACCGAATAGTAGTTTTTCCGTGTTAACCCTCAGACATGTTAGATACATATTAAAAAAAATAAAAAAACATTGCAACAACAAATTTCCGAGACAACACAAAACGACATGAAACAAACGAATGGCTTTATCTGTGATTCTGATAAGGTGGTGTCTGTTTTTTAATCAATTGCGGAAAGAAAAAGAATGAAAAAGGGTAAATCATTAAGGTATTTTAATTATTAAATTGAAATAGGAAATATTAAGGCCATCGACATCTCTTCTAGTGTTAACACTATCGCATTTCAGGATATGTATCATTTCGCTCAAAAGTCTTTTGGATAAATATGATTGAACATCTAGAATAGTTGGATTATCAAAATAAAAAGTGTGTCCATTTCCTTTTTCATGTTCAACGAGAGCTGTGGGGCTTTTTATTTTCAGTTTCTCAGAGTCTTTCATGTGTTCTGTAACTCGTGTTTTGAGATACCGTCCGGTTTGACCAACATGACGTTTGTGACAGCTTCCACAGTTCAATTTGCACACTACATTGGATTGGATTTCTTGTGGTGTTTTTGTTTTTTGTTTCGCGAAAAAATGCTTTCCAACTGTATTTTCATTTGGAAAAGCCATTTTAATGTGTTCGGTACTGAGTAGCATTCCAAGTTTATTAGATGAATTTTGTGATGTTTGAGTTTTATTCCTGTATTTTGTTTTTAGTTTTGCATGAAAACTATGAAGTGTCTAATATTTCAGTTTTTTTATTTTTATTTTTTGGAATGGAAGTAACAATATCGTCAACATATCTTTTGAAAACAAGCAATGAAAATGACAACTTTTTAATGCTTATATTTTGAAGTTCTGCCATGACAAAGTGAAAATTGATTGTTACAGAGCCCTGAAGAAGAGTTCAATCAAATTTGAAACATCGGCAAGAAAACAATTGTTTTTTAAAGAAAAAATTGATCCTGTCACCAAACCAACCTTTTTTCAGGATTACTTTCATGTTCAGGGTATCCACAATTCTTCAGGGTAATAACTTTTTTAGATTCTCTTTAAAAAAATCAAATTTCTCTTTCATCCATTCGTTCAGTCCACCAAAATGAAGATTAAGTTTTCTTTCTATAGCGATGCTTTCAAATTCAGAATTCACAATATGTCCATTAGTTTATTTTCAATCTAGAAAACCGGTTTGAAATTTACGTCTTTCAAACATTTTCAAATCACCTTTGTGAGGGCGAAAGATCAACAACAAACGGTAGAGAAATTTATGTGGCAGTTGCGAATTCCTTATCTGCTTGGATATCCGATTATTTCTGTCTTGTTCAACTGATGTTTATCCGCCGATGATTAATGAGAAGCCTAATTCAAAATGATTCCAAGCGAAATTTAATAAGCAAGTTAATTTGTTAGGTACCGTTGACTGTATAAGTATTAATAATTTTGGAATCATGAACATAATACTGATAATTTTCTGTATTTATTATTTTCAGTTCCCAGTTCACTCACTCTAGAAACAAATCTGGATTTTAAAACATTCATTAATTCTTCGATGTGTTGTAGTTTATATAGACTTTCAATCAATATCTTGTTCGATTATCATGCCTGCCAAGAAATAGATTTGATTATTCCTACTTTTAGGTTAAAACATTTCATGTTTAAAAACATTACTATGATCTAGTCTCCCATCCTTTAAATAATTCTAATCTAGTCTCTACCTGGAAAGAACGGATTGACTAGTAAAGGCAGGTAAATACAGGCGAACAATGGTAAAAATAGGTATTCAATAGTAAAAATCAGTTGAAAAACAAGACAAAGAATGATTTTCTGATAAGGACACATTAAGTAGTATTGAGATGTTCAATTGAAATTGACGGAGAAGAAAAAAAAGAATCTATTGAAATGGGTAACCCTAATATACAATATTATATAAAACATATTATCAACATTATAGAAATTGAAAATAATTATAGAAAATTTAAAATGTAGATATAGTTCAAAATATATTTTATTAAAACAACGATAAAAATTTTTTTCATTTTCAAAATTGAAAATGAAAAAATTAAAATTTCTAGTCTGAAAATTAACAACATATGCTATTAAAAATACATTGCCATATAAGTGCAGCTCCAATA